AGGGAGGGAGGGAAGGAGGGAGGATACATATCCACCACCTAACACAAAGTTTCAGTTCTCTGAGTTGGTGTGTTTAGTGACTATTTATGATGGGAAAGGGGTGTGGTCTGGGGGTGCTGAGGTGGGGCTGGAAAGCATGTTTGATTGCTCCCATGATCAGGGATAACAGGCTTAGTGCGTGCTTGTAAATACACAGAACCACATTCAAGATCTCGAGTTCCAGTTTGTCCTCCAAATTAAAATTGCCTATAATAGCTGAGAATGTGGTAGTCTATGCAGTTCAGACTACCCTTCTTCATGCATCTATTTCAAAATTAGTATGTCTCATATTAAAATGAGACAAGTTGGTGATTTACCATTCTATCCTCCCAGTTCATATCTAGATGATAATTTCTGTTGTTCAGTTATTCATCCCAGAAAGAGCACTGATAAGGTTTTCAAAAACATGGTCTTGGGAGAGCCATGCCCTTAGACCATCAATATCTCATCATGTGCACCATGCAAGTACTGTACTCAGAAGGAAAGACAGGAACTATAATCCATTCTCCTCCATACAACTGTGCCATTGGGAATCAAATAAACATGCATTCCAGTTCTTTTCACTGAAAACCCTCTCTAGGAGACCTATCAAACTGGGATGCCCCTCCAATGCCTTAGGCAATTAACAAAACTCCTTTACATTCTGAAGGCTCCTCCGCAGCCAATTTTTGAAACAGACACACACAGATATTCAAAGGGGTTTGCTCTCCTGTCACTTGATGCATAAGGATGGGCTGACAAAAAAGGCAAAATGTTCAGAGATCTCAGTGGCACTAACAGAGCCATGGATATGATGATGTAAAGGGATGCTACCTGGCACTGCTGACTACAGCCAATGTGTCCTGCTGCATTGCACTGGAGACACAGCAAAGATACACATACATGACACAACATCATCTTATATGTAAGAATATTCCAGTGACTTGTGGTGCAGCAGAACCAGTGAACTAAGCAAACCTTCCAAACAGCTTTGTTGATAGAGAAAAGGAATGAAAGTGCCTTGTAAACTACTGGTATCACATACTGCATATGAACTTTTGACTTGGCTGTTTCCCTGCTGTTGTTCACTGCATGCCATAATCCTTTCCTCTCCCACCAGATTCCAATCAGTACCACATAACCCCTGCTATTCCTCCAAAAAAGGATTTCAGCAGTATCATAGATTTTGTATAGGAATTCTATTTGAAAGTCATTCTTGCAGTTTGCCTTCTGGCATGCAATCATTTAATATGTTTTATACTCTCAGATCGATTCTCAGGAGTTTGCAGATCTCAGCCTCAGTAACAGGATCCCATCTCTGGATAAAGAACAAGAAACCACTGAAGAGTGGAGAAGCCAGACCTCCTGTAGTATGCAGGTATGAACAAAGTTTTCAGAAAGGAACAACTGTTTTTAATCCCTTGTGTAGCAGTCACATGTTCAAAAGAGCCTAATGCTTTAATGGCTTCCACTATAATCCTTTTAGATAAAATGTAAAAGCCTGTATTTATATTTGGATCTTCTTGACTCAGTAGTAAGAACTGAGCTCTGAAAAATTCAGCTTCCTTTTACCAACAAAGCCTAAATAAATATTACTAAAGAATAAACCTTATAGTCTGAAATTTAAAAAAGAAAGAAATAAAAAGACAATGTGGTAACTTCCCTTGTTACCTTTTCAGTTTCACTTTTGTGGGAGCTGCACAAATGTAGCTCTGCTAAGGAAAAACATTGACTGGAAATTTTATATCAACATTTGAATATGTGAAAAAATAATTTCATCATTTCCAGCTTGATGTGAATGTAGTTGCATGGACTTCAAAAGTCCATCTGGGGCAAAACTCAAAAATTTGTTTGAAGCAGAAATATTAAAGGCCCTCATTGCCTTTTGCAACTAGGGCTACCTTGCAGGGTTTGTATAAACCTTGCTTTGCTTCCTGAGATTATATATTATCACCTGGTTTATCTGTAGGTTGTTTTAAATCATTTGATAAATGCTCAAGTGCTTCTTACTGTGTTTTCAATGTTGTATATAAACAACAGTCTGAGCAAAAGATGAGAGGGACTCAGACCAAAGAACAAAGAACCAGTAACCATCTGGTATCAGTGTGATAGCCAAAACTTCACATGGTATCAGTTCAATAACCAGGTTATTGCTACTTAGCCCAGGATGCTACACCCCAAACCTGCAACATCTAACACAAAATCAGAGAATAGTATGGGTTGAAAGGGACCTTAAAAATCATCTTATTCCCATCCCCTCTGCCACAGGGAGGGACGCCTTCCAGTAGGTCAGATTGCTCAGAGCTCAAATCATCCTGGCCTTGAACAATCCCAGGGATGGGGTATCCACAGCTTCTCTGAGAAACATGTTCCACTGTCTCACAGTAAAGAATGTTTTTTTAATATCTAAATTTATTCTATTTCACTTTGAAGCCATTCCTCCTTGTGCTGTCTCTATGTGTCCTTGTAAAAATTTTCTCTCAATCTTTCCTATAAGTTCTCTTCAGATACTGAAAGACAGCAATTAGATCAACACAAAGCCTTCTCCAGGCTGAGCAATCCCAATTGTCTCAGCTTTTCCTCATAGGAGAGGTGCTCCATCCCTATAACCATTTTGGTGGCCTCCTCTGGACTTGCTCCAAGAGGTCAATGTTCTTCCTCTGCTGAGAGCTCCAGAGCTGGATACAGCATTTATGAGTGTGAATATCAGATCCTTAGGTTATTCTTAGGGTAATAAAAGTTCATTTGCTACAGAATTTTAATAATTTCTCTTACATTATAGAATCACAGAATAATTTTGGTTGGAAAAGATGTTCACCCACCACTGCCAACTCCACCACTTAACCATGTCCCTAAGGGCCACATCTACATCTTTTTAACACCTTCAGGGATGGTGATACCAACACTTCCCTGGGCAGTCTGTTTCAGTGCTTCATAACATTTTCTGTGGAGAGATTTTTTCCAAATATCCAAACTAAATCTTCTCTGGTGCAACATACAACCATTTCCTCATCTCCTGTCCCTCGTTACCTGGCAGAAGAGGCTGACCCTCATCTTTCCACAACCTTGTCTCAGGGAGTTGTAGAGAGAAATAAGGTCTCTCCTGAGCCTCCTCTTCCCCAAGCTAAACACCCCCAGCTCCCTCAGTTGCTCCTCATCAGACCTGTGCTCCAGATCCCTTCTTAGCCCTTCTCTGAACTCACTCCTCACTCAGTGTATTTCTTGCAGCAAGGGTCCAAAATTGGACACATATTCAAGGTGCAGCCTCACCATTGCTGAGTACTGGGCAATGATCACTTCCTTAGTCCTGCTGTACCATTGCTTTACAACCAGACACCTTAAAGTCATCAGATGACCTTGAAGTTGGGTGGAAGACAACCTCAATGCCCTTATAAAACAAGAAATCTCTGGAGGTACAAATATAATGACAACTTGTGTTACCACTGCAGAGAAGTTGGAAGGAGGTAGAAGTGAGAGAATTTCCTCACAATTCAGAGAAAATATCTGTGAAGAAAAGTGAGGTGATGTAAATAGCAGAAGTCTGAAATTCAGTTTTAAATTTTTTTGTGAGCAACGTGTCAGACAAATAAGTTATGTTCAGCATTGCCAAGGTTAGTAAAACCCTTTATGATCTGCTGGATACCATCTCATTGTATACTCTAAAATGACTTGGGTGACCTGCTCACAAAGACATTTTTTTTTCTGACATTTAAGTGACAGGAGAGACAGTAGTAGATGACTGGTTATATCAGGAGAGATACTGAAGTATTAATATACGGCTCTGTTGAAATTCATGTGGGATGCAGTGTGTAACCACATTCAGGAATACTGAATTCAAACTGGGATGGGCAGAGAAGGACTCCTAACATTACCGAGGGAACCTAACTTACTAGAGGAGAAAAAAAAGCTGGAGAGAGTGTCACAGCTCATACTAAGTCTTCAGACAGCAAAAACTACCAGGGAATAAAAATACCTAAGACACAGTGTGAGACCCATGTTAGGGCTGAGCACTGGGACAGCTACCTGTCCTTGTCAGTAGCTAAGCTGAAGCTGTGTTGTGGTTTCATTGTAGAGAGCTAAGTTGCTCAGGTGCAATCCTGAGGTGGACAGAGGGACACTGAAAGCCTCTGAGACCAATCTATTAGGAGAACTCGAACTGCATTAAGTAAAGCTGAGAGCAGAGAACAGGAGGAATGCGCTCCTGCAGGGGAGCTTGGGATCACACAACGGACAGAGGAGGTGGAAACACAAATCCTAGGCATTGTTCCACCAAAGATGGTACAAATTATGTTCTTGCATCTTCTGTGATAATACTACTCTGTGATAATTCAGTGGTAAGGAGAATACCTAGTTTTAGCTGATGAGGAACCACCTTGCAATCAGCAGAAGTGCCTGTTTCAGAAACAGCATGTATTTTTCACCCAGAAAGGTCATTACATGAAATACAGCCACAGACAGTGGAAATAGATAAAAGAATCCAGTACTGTTCAGCCACAGCCCCATTAAATGGGCTAAAAAATCAGGATCCTTCTGGATTCAAATATCATACATTTGTTTTTTTGCACAGTGGCCCATCTTCGGATCCTTCTGGATTCAAATATCATACATTTGTTTTTTTGCACAGTGGCCCATCTTCAGCAGAGTATAGTCCCATGAAGATTTTAGATCACACTGGTGGAAAAACATCCCTGGAGAATAAGAACTGTGGTACCTCTCTCAGGCAGATGAAAGTCTTGGTCCCAGACTTGCTTCATTTTCACAAGAGTTCTAGCCAGAAGAGACAAAATTCAGCTGCAGATGCTTCTTCCTCTTCCTTCTTGGTCAGCCATGCTCCCTCACACAACATGGGCTTTGTGGCCCAGTTTTTGACCTGGAGAAAGGAACGGAGAAAGGTAATTTACTTCCACTCAGCCACGAAGAACCTAAGATAAGCTCCTCAGACAGCTTTTCTGATCTGAGACACAGTGAGCAGCCTGTGGAGGATCCTGACTTCAGTCAGTCTGGCATGCAAAACACCCACATCCCTTATGGAGGTACACTGGTGTCTCAGCAAGGCAGCTGAAATGAGTTGTTTGAATAATGACAGCTATTAACATGAAAACAAATAAATACTGGATGTGAATAAATGCAGCATGTAAATACAGTGAAATGTAAACATCTTTATCAAGGTGTATAAGATTCTATAATTATGGAAGTATTAGGGGGAAGAAAAAGGCAGTTGATTAAGAACAGGAAACCACATGGAAACGGGGGTATTGGTCACAGCGGCCCAAGGATTCCATTGTTCCTTACTGTACACTGCTTTTTCCATGCTCTCCTCAGTATCAGAGGGAACTTTCACCCCTCTGATTACATCTCTGCTCCCACTGTGGAGATGGACACAGATGTTCAAAATGGAAGGCAGATTTTTGCACTATCCACTTCTTCATTCAAATTACCTTTAAGCTTCTTGAAAACTTAGGTCTAAATAAAGGTGGAATACAGCCTGAAGAATTGCAATAAAAATGCCTAAGGGCTTCTGCAGGATGTTAATTAACCTGGTTCATGTGGGGAAGATGGTTGATAACTCAGTGAATATTCGAGCCATTTCAACTTTACAAGAACTTAACTGTTTTACATACCATACTCTGTAGAAATCCCCCACTGGATTTCACCCTCTAATGTCTATAAAATAAAGGCAATACATATTCTTAGCACATAAACAATAAATGAGAAATACTCCTATGGGATACACATTAATTCCCACAATAAAAGAACACAAATCAAACCCAGCAGCTAAAGAGCAGATGAGCAAATGATTATTTTGGGCCTCTAATGAAATGATATTGTGAAGGGCATTAGACAGATTGATTAGAGCTCAGCTGACTGACAAAACTGCCCACGCTGTCCACCATTATAATGAATCTACCTAAACCATTTCCTTGAGTGCGTGCACTGGTGTGTGCACCCTATCCACACGTGTCTTTGTGCTTCACAGCAAATTACTCATTGCTGTTTCTTTATAGTACAAAAAACAGTCTAACTTGTACAGATCTATGCTTTAGAATTAGCTATGAATACACTCTCTGGGTAGGACTCCTGCAAGGATTCATTTTCAGTATATCTGACAGTCATTTCAATTAACACATTTATCAGCATATTTACAACATGCAGTGTGAAATAAAGATCCTGTTAAAGAAAGGAGCAAGCTGAATCAAGCATCTCAGATTAAAAACCAGTCAAAATTAAATAATTACCACAAGTTAATATTGAAGCTAAAAGCACAGAAAGAATATAAATGAAGATTGGATGTTTATACCATTAAAGAGGATATTCAGAGAAAAAATATCAGAATTAAAAAGAATGCAAGATCAAAATCTTTTGCTATATAAATGTTACGTGTTCCATTTGCTTTAGCAGAACTGTGCCAACAGCCATTAGTGATGGATCTGACATGCAGTCTTAGAACCTGTGAAGATCAAGGTTTGGAAATTGTTCCTGGAAACAAAGATCTGCATGTGGGTTGGAATAATTAAAGGCAACAGCTCAGGCTGAGGAGTGCCTGACTAGGAATCATCCTTGCAGAACAGACTTGGGGTGCTGAGGTACAAGGAGTTGAACATGACTTTTGCCAACAAGTTTTATAATGAGAAATGTTAACTGCACAAAGGGCTGCGTTGGCAAAACAGCTGAGCATCTGAGCAAGTGGGTTTCCCCCTCTGCTTTTCGTGTGTAAGGAGAACACATCCAGACTACTGAGTTCAGTTTGGATTTCACAGAATAAAAAAGTCATCAATGAGCTAAAGCAAACTCTTCACCTGGATGGTTAGGGACCAAAGCATATGATGGACAAGATGAGGCTTCAGAAGCCAAGCTTTTTTAGTTGCCAAGAAATAAGGCTAAGGGGGATAATGTTAGTATTTTCAACTACCAAAGAGAGTTTAAAAAGAGATGAATCCAGATTAAGGGCTGGAAGACACAGGGTACAGCAAATGGAAACAAGAAATACCAATTAGCTGTAAGGGAAAAGTTCCTCACAGGGAGAGTGGACAAACATTACGTCAGAGACCCAGAGAGGCTGTGCAGCCTTCATCCTTGGAGATATTCAAAGCAAGGCAGCACAAAGGCCTCGAGGGACCTGATCCAACACTGATGCCACCCTGCTTTGGCCTCTGGAGTTCACTGCAAAAATGAGACTCAATAAGCAAGGAATATGTAAGGTAGACAGAAAAGAAGTGCCTAAGTTGAATACTAAGCCAGGCCTGTCATCTGGTTACAATAGGCTTAGCAAAGACAAACTTCATCTCCCTTTGGAAATCAAAACCCTGCAGGCTTCTTGTAGGAGGTAATTGAAGACAAGAATAACCTTGAGCTCCAGTCACACTGTACTTATTCATTGCTTATTTAAGACATAGCAACCTATTGTATATTGCTGCAATTTGTATAGCTAATTATATAGAACTCCAGTTACACATTGTGTCTAATTGCTGGAATATACATCCTCTGAAGCCATTAGGAGTGCTACCACTGACTCATTTGAAGAGTCTAATTTAGCCAGCTGAATTATCTGACTCATCTTAGTAGGCTCATCTCAGCAGGCTTTTCTACAGTTGCCCTTTGGAGGAGCTTGTCTCTGTACAGAGATCCTGGGGAGAATAACCTGAAGGGCATGCTCAGTGCTCTGGGAATGCTGCACTTCCTTTCCCCCTTGATAAAGGAGGGATGGTAATAATTGCATATGTTCACATTTGATGTGAGAATCAGTTGATGTCAGAGAAATTTAACTATAGAAATGCTAAAAAATCTGTACCATTTGCCAGAGCTTAAAAATGACCTTGTTGGGAGATTGAAAGGATGAATTGGAGGAAGGGTTGCTGACCACTAAAAAGCCAGATTTTCAACAATATCAATTAATATGGTGTTTTCAGGGCTGTCTGAATATCCTGCCAATAAAACAGTGTTGAAAGGAGGTCCAGTTAATTAAGGTTTTCAGAAACCAGAAGATAGGCAAAAACTCTATAATAAATATCGAACTAAGGAAGCAAATCTGTAGTAGGATGGCTGCAATGAATAAGGTAGTTTTGCTGAGTTTTCCTCTTTGTGATTTGTGGTCGTTGAGTAGTTACACAGGTACTCAGGGGGCTTATGAGGCATAAAAATGTTTGAAGAAGCACATAAAATAAAATACAAATTCTAGAATATTCAGTGCACAGCAGTGTTTCTGAGGTCAAATACCACTGTTGCAGCTGAGTTATATGTTCTAGAAAATAATGTACAATACATTCTTACATATATTCTGTATATTCTACTCTACTGAAATAGATTTGTTGCTGTACCTTTATGGTAAGTGAATAAGGCAGGAGAAGAGCCACAAATATTTCATTTCTAGAACGGAATTGACACTTTGGAGAACAAGTGAGAAATATGGAGAAGAAAGAGTTACAGATGGGAAAAAGGTATAAGAGAATTGGGTCATGGAAGATATTGTTGATAGTGTCAAAGAGAGCTGAGGGTGGAGTGCAGGTTTGGAAGAGGTCATTATGGTTAGTACAGTGTGAAAGGAGCTGAAGGAAGGGATTAGGAAGGGTCTGGCATCATCAAAGTCTGACTTTAAGTACTGCATTTAGCATCTGCAGGGTTGAAAACAACGGATTTTGATAAATTAAAACAAAAGTAGGCCTATATCTTAGAAAATAAAACGTGTCCTCTGAGTGGAGAAGGAGCATGAAGGAGGGAATGAGATTAGGATAAAAGGAGACAGGCAATAGGTTGGGATGCTGATCATAAACAAAGCAGTAGGGATTAGATAAAGTGAGAATTCCTGAAGGAAGGAATTGCTGGTTATATTTTATCTGATATGCAATATCTGATCTGGATAGCAATCAGTGAAATCCTGTGTGGAGAGCAAAGTGGAAAAGAGGGCATAAGAAATGACCTGGCACCAGAATGTCTGATACACTTCATATGAATGAACCTCAATAGGCCTCAGCAGAAAAGAAAGGTGAGAACAAGCACTAAAAGAAGTAAACTCAGAGCTGAAGAAGGAAACCTCTACAGGACCCTGTTGAAATTACTGCTGGGACAGCCGTGCTGGAGCCACCTTGCTCTGTGAGACCTCTGTGAATGACCTGGCTGGCCTTTGCTCTGGGCAGTGCCGGACCAGATCCTGCTCCCATGGCTGAGGCCACTGAGCTGTGTCTTTATCTGAGGGATATCATGCAGCTGAGGGCAGTATCATGGCTGGTTGTAAGGTTTCCTCCAGGCATTCAAAACCCTGGAGCCACATCGATGCTCAGCAGAGATGGACCTTATTCTACCTGAAACTGTGCACCTTGGGCACAGACAGGCCAGATGGTCAAAATGACAATTATCTTCCATTTATCATTCACCCTCAAGCTCTCTTGAATTTCTTCTGGTGTCTGGACAGCCTGCTTTGCTAGAGCATGGTCTAAGCCCACTTCCAGATGCAGACAATAAAAAAACCCACCTACACTACCCACGAAATGGCTTCTGTGATGCGGATTGCATCAGTTTAAAAATTGTTTTGCCAATCTTGTGTTGGCTCTGGCAAAATGTGTCTCCCATTAACTAACTTTATTACAGTCTATTCAGATCCCTGCATCTGCTTAGGATCTCAGCACCATGGGTGCCAGCTTCAGCAACACATCAGCATTTGTCAAGACAGAAGAGCTTTTGCAAAGGCATCACTGGGTATATACTGAAATGGGGTGTTATTCATCTCTTTAAATTAGGTTGTCTCTGTTGGCTGCATTCCTGTTACACTTGCTGGGGATCTGGTCAATACAGCCATAAGGCATCAGTCAGTTTATTCCAAAGCAGACACTCACATTTAGGTCAGATGAATCATGCCCCAGGTATTATGGATAGCATTGACTGGCTCTCCATAAACAGAGTTGAATTCCACATAACTGCCTCAAAGGTAAGCACTTACATTTCAGAAAT